GGGGTTCAAGATGAGGAAAAGAGAGGCCCAAGTGAGAGTGCCTAGCACCCTCGGTTGGTTCAGTGCCCACAGGTTAATACCAGTGTTAGAGTCTTGACTGCTGAGAAACATAAAGCTACAATTCTCTCATCTGGGTTGTGGAACACCCAGGAGGGGTCATTCCCTAGTTGTATCTGGTGGTTCGCTTCCGGCCTGTAAGTGCTTCCTGTTTAGCTCTTCCTTTTCTTTCTTCCTAACATCCCTTCCTCCAAGCAGGTTCTTCTTCCTTCTGGGCAGAACACAAAGCCCTGGGGTTCCCCTGACTCACGCTGACTGTTCTGATGCATTGGTCATCTACCACCGGTCTCATAGAACCCAGGTGTCGTCTTAAAATGATGAAGGGGGATAGGATTTCATATCATGGCATGTAGGGCCATTCTATCATGAGAGGTTATGTGTGTGTGTCACTAGTCACCCCTGCTCAAGGAGCTGTCCTCACGGGCCCAGGCGACTCCACTTGCCTGTACTTCCCTCCTCACTCATGCCCTGGCTGGAGCTCCTCCTGCATCCTTGTGCTCTCCCGCCTGTTGAATTTTCTCTTTCCCTTCCAACTACAAAAGTTTCTCTTCTGAAATTTCTTCCCTTTTGCAAAGTAGAGATCCATGCTGCCTTTTTGGTGAAGACCTGATCACAGAAGGAAAAAGTGATCTGTCCCATAGCCAAGCTCAGGGAGACGCAGTTCAGGCCTTTTGTGAAGTCTTCATATATCTGCACACTGCCATCGCAGATGCTGCCTTTGGACACATTTTCCTGATGTTTGTGTTATGATCAGTAACTCATAGATTCAGAAGGCTTTTCAGGACCTAACAGCCATGTTCAAAATTGACTTTCCAAGAAAGCATGATCTGAGCCCTACGTATGCATTCATTCACATGATGCATTTCATTCACATGGTTTGAAAATCCAAAATCATAAAAGGATATATAGTGAAAAATTTCTTTTCCACCCTGTTCCCCCGTCCATCCACTTCCCCTCTCTGTGGGCAGTCACTATTATACATTTCTTATGTGTTTCCAGAAATATTTTATAGATAAGCCAGTACAGATATACACTTTTGCACCTTTTTTTCCTTTGATATGATATACATCCTTGGGCTCTTCTCGGATGAGCATATTAAGGGCTCTTCTCGAATGAGCATATTAAATGCTTCTTCATCCTTTGTTAGATCTGAATAGTATTAATTTGTATGGATGCACTTTAATTTTTTGAACCAGTCCTCTATAGGTAGACAATTAGGTTGTTTCCATCTCTTAACTGTTATAAACTGTGCTGGTTTCAACAGCCTTGTTATTTCTCATATATACGATTGGGTAAATCCCTGTAAGTGCAATCTAAGGTCAAAGGGCATATGATTTAGTTTTGATAGATACTGCCCAACTGCCTGAGTTTGGACCTGTTCCTATTTCGACTATCAGTGGATGTGTGGGGCCTGTTTCTAATCCTCATCAGCCCAGCACATTGCCACACGTTTGTGTTTTAAACAGGCTTTGGGATGCACCCCTTTCATAATTTGAGAGCAGAAAGAATTCCCAGGGAGGGTGCTCATCAAATGTCATGTCAAGACCTCAAAGCTCTGAGCCCAGCCACCTGGCTTCGTGCTTGATAGCCATGCAGCCTTGGCAGAGTGGCTGGACATCAGCTCTGCAGTAGTATTCTATTTGTAAAATGAGGATAGTAATAGCCTCATGGCTCCTTCAGGTAGTCCATGTCAAGGGCTGGAACAGCGCTTGGTACATAGGGAAGCCCTTGAATGCCTGGACTCAACCAATCCTCCCACCTTAGCCTCCCAAGTAGCTACAGGTGTGCGCTACCACACTTAGCTAGTCTTTTTAGAAAAAAGTTTTTGTAGAAACTCGGCTGCCCAGATGATGTTCCTGTCTCAGCCTCCTGAGTAGCTGGACTATCAGCGGGAGCCCCCATGCCCAGCTAAATTTTTTTTTCATAGAGACGGGGTCTTGCTGTGTTGCCCAGGCTGACTGCAAATTCCAGGCCTTAAGTGATTAACATTTTTCTTTTTTTTAAATAATTGCAACACCCTACTCTGGGACCTGGCCTTGCATAACCCTGCATCCATCAGCTGACCCCAGGCAGCCCTGGCATGCCGTGAGTTGTGGTGGACACACTATCTTTCCATGGCAGCTGCCTTCCTGGCCATGTGCGCTGAGGACACCACTCCTGTGGGCAACTGTTCCTCACGCCACCCAGCTGCTTCTGCAGGCAGTCAGCCAGCCACATTGTGACCAGAGGGCAGGAAGGCCACCTCTGAACAGCAGGGGCCCTAGGCCAGGACTAGGCATTGTACACTCATACAGGAAGGAAGTTCTGATGTTTACGCAGGAAGAACCTGGGCTTCAACTTTAGTTACCAAGACAAGACCTAAATTAGAAAACCATGAGAGAGAGTGTCAGGACCCATGATCATGTCACTGTTGGCAGCCCCAAGGTCAGCCTACTCTGCATGAGTATAAACCTCCTCACACTTTTCTGCGGCCTCCCCACACCCAGAGCCAGAATGAGGCTGGCACTCTCCAGATTATTGTTTTCAGCCTTCTTAGCCCTGGGTTGCTGGCCAGAATGCTGACACACTGAGCTAGCTGCTTCCCAAACTGAGTTAGCTGTTACCAAGCCAGTGGGCAGTGGAGCACAGTCCTTGTCACCTGCCACTGGTAAATGAATTTAAAACTCTTGCTGAAAGGAAAGAAATATGGGGCAGATGCAGACAGCCTCCAGCTGCTACAAAGCAAATGTGACTCCCTTCAAAACATCAGCTAACCCACCCAAGCCTTTGGAGTATTTATTTGCAGTCTCTGCAGCCAGGGGGAGAGGCTCCTGAGGGAAGAGGTCATGGCAGAGCCATTTGGGGAGTTCCTGCCGTGGGGAAGGGTTTAGTTTCTCTATGTCAGCATCAGAGGTAAAGGATTATTTTCAAAAGATAAAAACATCTCATGGGTAAAAGGACCTGACATCCCCAGTGCCTTCTTACAGTTCATCCCTCCTAATCTTATCATATAGTATGTGCAGGGAGGATGTGTTAGCTTTCCACAGTGGTAACAAACCACCATAAACTTGAGCGTTTACAACAACATTTACCATCTCACAGGTTCTGTGGGTCAGGAATCTGGGCAGGGCTGAGTTCCAGGATCCCACTGAGTTGTGATTCAGTGTGGGCCAGGGTGGTGGTCTCATCAGAGGCTCAACTGGGGAAAGATCCACTTCCAAGCTCCCTAACATTGTTGGCAGATTTAATCTCCATAGGCCCTTCATATTGTAACTGCTCACCTCTCCACAGCCAGCAAAGGGAATCTTTCCCTTGTCAGATGGAATCTGCTATAATGTAACCTAATCAGGGAGTGACCTATCACCTTTCCCATACTCCCTTGGTTAGAAGCCAGTCACAGGTTCTAGCCACAGAGTGAGTGAGATCATCTAGGATGATAGGGCATACATGCATACGTAATCATGTGAGTAGCAAACGAGGGGATCACCCCATTAGGTCACCTAGTCAGAGAGGTGGGCCATGTGCAGTAGTGGGGGCTGTGCACAAAAAAGGGGGGTCCACCCCCCTTAGGTCACCAAGGCAAGGAGGTGAGCTGTGTGCAACAAGTGCCATGCACAACACCTCTTATCTGGGGGCTGGAGACTTCAAAGGATTCCTATAGAAGGATGCTGTAAACCAATGCAGTGGGAGCTGAGAGTGTGCTCCTCTAAGGTATTTTATAGGAGGATGATTAGCCAGCACAGTAGTGAGAAAAGCTGACAGGGTATACAGCTGCCGTGGTACAATTACACCAGAGGGGTTCTTCTCCCTCAGTTGTTTGTGGGATCTCAGGCCTGAGGCCTACTTTCCACAAGAACTGGATGCAAGGTACTGCAACTACTTTTCAGGAGGAATAACTCTTGCTCCAAGCCGGCAATGCTGCAGGTACTGAGCACTGCCGTCTAGGCCCTGACCTGCCATATAGCGTCTGCCCTTTCAGGCAGGGGCGCTACGTCCTGGGTCATTGGTTCTGGTCTGGCTGTTTTTCCCATGTACTTGCTTCTGCTCTGTGACTGCTATAGGCATTCTTCCTACTACAAAGTACTATATGGTTATATATAAGGATTATATAAATAGCACTAAATGTCTGTACAGCTCCAACTACAATCCGTTATGATTATATATATAAGCTAGATATAAGTAAGCAATAAGCTATACTTCAGGCAATAATTGTGCCTGGGGTCTGCATACCTCTCCTTCCTCGGTGCCCATGTTGGGGGTTACTCACAAGCAGTTTTGTTCTTTTCCTCCCATCTCAGGATGCCTTCAAATCCCAACATCCTCGACAGCCCAGTACTCTCTGCCACAACCTGATTCCAACTCTAGCTCTCTTGATTATTGGCTATATGTTATTGAGAAAAGGTGACTTTCTGGGGGAAGCGCTTATCCTGAATCTCTATTTTCTTATCTGTAAGAATGTATTCCACTAAGATTTTGCAGGATGGTAGCATATAATAGTTGTCACTTACTAAATAATTCCAGCACCTTTCCTTGTAGGACTGTTCATTTTATTGCATTAACTTATGTACATATGGAATCCAACAATGAAATATCATTAATCTTGCCAGTGTACACATCAAAGCAAAAGGAAAATGTATTTTAAAACAAACCCAGCTATATTTAGGGAGCTGAAATCACTGATTCTATGCTTACAGGAATTCTTAGAATAAAGGAAAAGGACTAAAACCTTAGACGTGTTCATGGCCATATCTAAACGGTACTGGTGTCAAAGATTTGGGATTTTTAAGTCGTTTTCTTTCTCCTTAAATAAGACTAAGATGAAAATTTTTATCCAGTTATTGAGGGGAAACAATAAGGTAAGTTTGGGTTTAGCTGGAACCGGTCCTGCCATTATTTACAGGTTCTTGTAAAAAAGGGAGGCCCTAGGGTCTTCAGATTATAACCTGCTTTGGTTTCTTCTCCAGGTTTTTCCTGGTGGTGGTGAAGACTGGATGATGTAACTGGCTCTCTAGGAAGTCTCACTTGGCCGTAGCCTCTGGAAGGTTCTCTTTGACCCCATCTCAATTCATAGTGACTTCTGAAGCCACTTGAGAAAAATGATGTGACAGTTCCTATCAAAAAGGATATTTCAGAAATATATACCATCTGAGAAGAAAGTGGCCCTTTTTCCCTGCTTGCAAAATAGACATCCTCAAATTCCAAAATGCCAGCCAAGACCCCAATTTACCTGAAAGCAGCCAATAACAAGAAAGGAAAGAAATTTAAACTGAGGGACATTCTGTCTCCTGATATGATCAGTCCACCGCTTGGAGACTTTCGCCACACCATCCACATCGGCAAAGAGGGCCAGCACGACGTCTTTGGAGATATTTCCTTTCTTCAAGGGAACTATGAGCTTTTACCTGGAAACCAGGAGAAAGCACACCTGGGACAGTTCCCTGGGCATAACGAGTTCTTCCGGGCCAATAGCACCTCAGACTCTGTGTTCACAGAAACACCCTCCCCAGTGCTCAAAAATGCCATCTCCCTCCCAACAATTGGAGGGTCCCAAGCTCTCATGTTGCCCTTGTTGTCACCAGTGACATTTAATTCCAAACAGGAGTCCTTTGGGCCAGCAAAGCTGCCCAGGCTTAGCTGTGAGCCCGTCATGGAGGAAAAAGCTCAGGAGAAAAGCAGCCTGTTGGAGAACGGGACAGTCCACCAGGGAGACACCTCATGGGGCTCCAGCGGTTCTGCCTCTCAGTCCAGCCAGGGCAGGGACAGCCACTCCTCGAGCCTGTCCGAACAGTACCCCGACTGGCCGGCCGAGGACATGTTTGACCATCCTGCCCCCTGTGAGCTCATCAAGGGAAAGACTAAGTCAGAAGAGTCCCTCTCTGACCTTACAGGTTCCCTCCTCTCCCTGCAGCTTGATCTTGGGCCCTCACTTTTGGATGAGGTGCTGAATGTCATGGATAAAAATAAGTAATAGGATGCCAACTTTTTTCCTCTGGGGTAAAAGGTACAAAAAATAAACCGCAGTTGAAGAGAAGGGCTTCCGGAGCTGTATCTGCAGTTTTGTGATGGGTTTTCTAAAATAATATTCTTACAAAGTATTTTTCTACCTGTTATGCTCTGTTTGCAAAAACAATTTAGGAAAAAAATAACAAAGCAAAACCTGTGTTGGCAAATCAGAGCCCACTTTCAGCAGGCATTGGTGATATTCGGCTCATGTATTGTTTGCAGACACACAAGAAATCTGGCTTGGCCAGGATTGGCACTAGCTATGAAGGGCTGGGCGAGTCACATTAAGGAACTTTACAGCACTCCTACATCTTCTGAGCAAAAAGGAAGTCAAAATTTATTTAACACCTAAGCCTTTTTTCTAGACTCTTTTCTATATATTGCTTGGGCTCACCATAGCGAATTCTCCAGTGTTAAAAACTTTTCTGTTTTCACATTTGAACTTTATGGGTTTTGGGGATTTTCTTGTAGTTCTTATATATCCCTATATATTATATCTATATTGCAAATTTTGACTGTCAGCTACTTGTTGGTAAGACACAGGCGAAGTATTACTGTAACTAAGTTATTTTTAAAGTTAAAATATATTTTTACGTGCCTTTGGCTTTTTATTGCAGAGTCTACATTTTATAGATCCCACATCAGATGTTGTCACTTGACTTGTTTCCATTGGGATTCCATTGTAAGCTGTGTATGTGTGTGTTTGGAAAAGTGTATTCATACTTAGTTTTTTCTTTATGTTATCATACTTTTAACAGCAACCAATAATGGATTGTAAAGTATAAAGGCACAGGTTATTCATGATGCTTCTGCAGAGACTGTGGGCTACACCACATAATGTTATTTGGAAATATAGGTATATTAGTACAGTACATACTTGCATTACATAGGTACTTCAAGCAACACAATAAAGAGTAAATGATAAAGTGAACTTGCTTGTTTACAGTAATAAACAAGACCATAAGAGTCTAAGTCTAGCTAGAGAAATTGCTTCTCTGAAATGTACATGAGCCTTTCAAATAAGAAATGATTTCCCTCTATTCTAATTTTGATTACTTCCTTATGGCTTGAGAGGCTAGAAACTGGGCCTCTCTACTTTAGGATAAATGAACATATCAGATTTTTTTCTTTTTAATGTCAATACTGATCCACCCTCTCAGTGCTCATTTCTGAGTATCTTCCGAACTTGAACACCTACAGCAAACTCTTGCAAGTCCAGTTTCATCCCTGTAAGACAAACGTCTGTTCATGCAGCAAATGCCATGTAGACAAGATTAAGGCAGCTAAAGCAGGGGCAGTAGAGAGCAGTTACCCCACCCCAAGGTGCCAGAGTTGCCCTGAGGATGTTGGTTAAGGAAACAGGAGCAGAAAATGTACACACAGATTCCTGTTCCTTTGCCAACCACTCCTTCCCCCTCGAAGAAAAACACTTGCACCCAATAACTGCCAGCAACTTCTCTTAAACGTATATTTCTCCTTGAAATGTATCTTAGAAATGACCTCCTCCCAACCACTTCAACAATTCTTTCTTTGGGTTTGGGGTTCTAGCAATTCTATCGTCTAAAATAACCTTTGGACTGCAGGTGAAATGCAATTAGGATTACTAACCCGGTAGACAGAACGAGTTCCCCTAGGCAGGGGTGTCCAGTATTTTGGGTTCCCTGGGCCACAGTGGAAGAATTTTCTTGGGCCACATGTAAAATACGCTAACACTAACCATAGTTGATGACCTTAAAAAAATAAAACTGCAAAAAAAAACAATGTTTTAAGAAAGCTTAAAAATTTGTGTTAGGCTTCCTATGGGCCACAGGTTGGGCATAGCGTGCCTTCCTTAACTTCCCAGTTGTATTTCATTATCCATGACTCTGCAGTGTTTTTTCTGTTGGACCACACCCATCACAGTTCACAGTTCCAAATAGAAACTTCCCAGTCTATTCTAAATCTTGTTAATGAGGAAGAATCCAATGTATCTCATTATTTGTAGCCAATTTTAGACTTTTTCAGTATCTCCCCCCATTTTAATTAGTATTGACCATATTCAGTCTTTCATTTTGCTCTTCATCTGTAGCATGACCTCAAGGTAAATGTTATTTCGTGAGAGGAGGAAGAGCGTGGCTGTGCATTAGCTCTTCTCCCTCTCTGGTAAGTACTGGGGAGAGAACAGCCCTGCCAGTACTGGGTTTGTTTGATGGAGTCTAAGTAATTGAACATCCTACTTACAGTTAGCCATTTTAGTTTCTGGAAGTCCTTTCATATATTTTTTTCTATTAATTGAATTAGGTGTAACTGAGATGGCAATAAATATGCCCCATTAGAAAGAGGAAACAAAGCTACATCCGGCCTACAAATGATTTTGTTGAGTCACTTCTCCCAAGGCAGCCTTTCCAGTGCCTGGTCCCTTCCCCAGAGAGCAAATGGACAGCTGGTGGTGCCTTTCTTTCCTGCAAAGAGGCACTTTAGACTCACACCTGCTGTGAGCTGAATTGATGTTCTCATCCTGTGAACCTTCTCCCACTTTAACGTAATTTATATTTACTTGTTTAAAGAAAAGGAAACCCAAGATGTACTTGATTTGCAAACTGAAAGCAAATGGCAAGCCACCTGTGACCCAATAACCGGAAAAGAAACCATGCCATTTGTATAAACAGAGACCCTTCTTGTTGGGGAAGTCAAGGCTCTTGTGGTTGATTTTCTTTTCCCCTTAGTGAGACCTAACAAAGGACAAGCTGTATTATTTCTACCTGAAATTATCTGCTTAAAAAGATTAATATATCAGGATACTTAGCTCTTCACAAACATGAAGTCATTCATACATTTCAGTGAGTCAGAAATCATTGTTAACAGCACACACAAAAGACTACACTGGTTGAACAGCAAAGAGAACCCGGGTCTCCAGAACCACAGTTTAGTCCTTCTGTATTACTGCAAGTGACCTGTTTTTTCTAAAGGTTCTCTGCAAATGAAGTCCTGGAATGGAAAAAATCCCTAAGTCCATGAATTGATAAATATTTTAGAATAGACAAAAGAAAATACTGAATGATACAGCTCTAATCCTCCTCTTAATATGAAACCTGGTGAGACAATCATTTTACCATGAAATGTATAAACACAATAGGATGAGCTAACGTGGTTTTCACTCCAGTAAGAGTTTTGCTTTTGGAAATTAGGTTAACAACCTAGCCCCAAATCTAGCAATTCTCATAAACAAAATCCGATTTTAGAATTAGCCTCCCAGATTAATTTGAATGATTGACCTATTTTTTCTTAGACAAGTCAATACATCATAGAATCAGGGTTATTGGGTGCTGCCCTGTGTCCCCACCCACTACAGAGCCCTATCTAGAAAAATTAGGGAAGCTTCCAGATGCCAAATGGAAGCTTCAACACTATCAACCCGGAGGGGAAACCTTCTGGTTGATTTGGCTGTATGAGATTCAAGAAGTCCAGAATACCCCAAATTATTCACACACGTTAACTTACTGGTACTGGCTAAGCAATACATGTATTTCCTAAAAAAGAGATGATCTTTCTGGTAGATTTATGGACACGCTTGTTTCATCTGACTGTAAATATATTGCATGCTTTATTCTGATGGTGCACTATTTCATCCAGCAAGCTTTTCATCTGAGAATGTTTAACGTTGACCTTATTCTTAGAGCAAGTAGATCTAAATATTTTTCAGCTGAGTTGTTAGGGAGTCATTATTCTGTGGTAAAATGCTGCAAAAAATGTGGAAGAATGGAAACTATGCTTACTTTATGAAGTGATGTATAACACAATGAAATCTGTTTTACAACTACTGTGCTGCATTTAATTATCTTCCATTTTTGCTTTAAAAAAATTCATTAATGATGTCACTTCCATTGGCTTCCAATGGAGGTCAGTAAATCCACTCTCTGAAGGTTAGCCAAATTTCTTTCATGGAAAGCAGATCGACACGGGTGATAGATAAAAGCATCTGCCCAAACCAAAGCCGTTGTGCAGAATATAGTTAATATTCCAGAGACTCATCATGCAGACAGAGATGTCTGCCATACATCAAAATGAGCAAAGCTGAGTAAGTGAAGTGGATATTATGCTCACCATAAAGTGATTATTGGAGTATGTCACAAAGTATGCACATGATTCATTGCCAAAAGGATTGGGGAAAAAGAGCTTTGAGTTGGGAGGGAGAAACATTAAGCAGTTTCATGGAAGAGAAGGACCCAAAAGGTACCTTGAGGGGCTGCTGTGATCATTTTAGGGAGAGTGGACATTCTTGGAAGGAAAAGAGTATTATGAGCAAATCAAAGGATAGACTCACATCCTAGTATTGTTTCTACTCAAAACAGTCCAGGAATAGGATTGGAGTAAAAAAATGCCCACATCTAGGTCTGAAAGATTGGGACCCATTTCTAAGAAGACTCCAGTGGAAGAAGAAAAGATTCTGGAATCAGACTGCTGAACAAGTGGTTCCCAGGGTAGATGTTTGTATAAAATTAGCCAGCATTTTGTGAAAGCTCATGCCCAGTCTATAGTGCCCATTCAGAGACCTGAAGGCAAGAGTAGGGACACCACAATAGTGAGGCTGATGTGAGGTGCTCAGGGAAAGTCATTTAGGAAGATGAAGGAACTGAGAGGGGCTAAGTGTCTCTGAAACAGCTCCAGATGAAGCAGGTTGGCATTAACAGTCCCTGGGCTGAACACACTGGATAGCTATCCCACCAGCAGTATCCCCAGAAACTTTTTTTTGAGACGGGTCTCACTGTCACCAGGCTGGAGTGCAGTAGCACAATCACGGCTCACTGCAACCTCTGCCTCCTGGGTTCCAGTGATTCTCCTGCCTCAGCTTCCTGAGCAGCTGGGACTACAGGTGCCCATCACCATGCCTGGCTAATTTTTGTATTTTTAGTAGAGGCAGGAATTCACCATGTTGGCCAGGCTGCTCTCAAACTCCTGACCTCAAATGATCCAACTTGGCCTCCCAAAATGCTGGGATTATAGGCATGAGCCACTGTGCCTGGCCCCAAGAACTTCTTTCAACCCATATTTTCCTAGGCTGGCTTATACTTTGAGTGTCCCCAGGATTAAGGAAGAAAGCTCCCCAGGAAACAGGAAAATCCAAATGTCATTAAAGTGTCTCCTGGGTCATTAGAACCCAAGAGGGCCAATTCTGGCATATAACGTAGGAAAAAATTCAATTGAGTAGAAACAAACAGCCCCGAAGTTCTCTCAAACTCCTTGAAGTCCATACTCAGGAAACTGAGGCTCAGAGAGGAGCAGAAGCCCCAGACTTCTGAGGACCTGCCTCAGAGAGGTGATATCTGGACTGTCTACCCCTCAGGGAAGCTCACATTCAATCCCACGTTGAGTCCTTACCCTATTAGGCATGTCAGCAAGATGGTCTAATTAGCATAGCACAAAGTCCCCAACGTTTGGCACCACAAATACCCACCAAAATACAGATGGTTCCCAACTTAGGATGGTTCTACATTGAAAACACATTTTCTACTTATGATATTTTTCAACTTACAATGGGTTTATTGGGATGTAGCCCCCATCATAACTCAAGGATCATCTGTAGTGAAAAGATTCTTCCATTACATTTGGGTCTTGAAAATCCCAACAAAGAAACCCTTTGAGGTACTGCTTCCATAGAAAATTCCCATCTTTGAGTGTAAATTGGTTCAGCTATTGTGGAAGACAGTGTGGCGATTCCTCAAGGATGTAGAACTAGAAATATCATTTGACCCAGCAATCCCATTACTGGGTATATACCCAAAGAATTATAAATCATTCTATTATAAAGACACATGCACACGTATGTTTATTGCAGCACTGTTCACAATAGCAAAGACTTGGAACCAACCCAAATGCCCATCAATGACAGATTGGATAAAGAAAATGTGGCACATATACACCATGGAATACTATGCAGCCATAAAAAAGGATGAGTTCATGTCCTTTGTAGGGACATGGATGAAGCTGGAAACCATCATTCTCAAGAAACTAACACAAGAACAGAAAACCAAATACTGCATGTTCTTACTTATAAGTGGGAGTTGAACACTGAGAACATATGGACACAGGGAGGGGAACATCACACACCGGGGACTGCCAGGGGGTGGGGGGCTAGGGAAGGGATAGCATTAAGAGAAATACCTAATGTAGATAACAGGGTGATGGATGCAGCCAACCACCATGGCACGTGTATACCTATGTAACAAACCTGCATGTTCTGCACATGTACCCCAGAACTTAAAGTACAATAAAGAAAATTCCCATCTTTAAGTCCCAGGAACTGTGCATTAAAACTCCAAAGGATGTCATTCTCATACCCATGGCCAGCTTTGTTACAAGTGAAATAGGCAGAACCTGCATGGCCATAGAAAAACAGTACTGCTCAAAACAATTTCTTCTACACTCATCTTCCCCAGGGCTGGAAAATCCACCTTTGGAGATGGGTTCTTGTTTGGGTGAGGCTTCCTATTAGGCATGGAGTCCCCCTAGAATAATTCCAGGAGTAACAGCATCTGCAGGCCACCAACAACGAATGTGAACTCACTCATCAGATGCCCCCTGTGGGAGCACAAGTCTCTAGCAACTGGCCTGGGGCAAGGGAGCAAGACAGACCAGGAAAAGCATGAAGAGTGTGTTCACGTAATGCATAATTTTGCCTGGGACAAAAAAAAAAAAAAAAAAAAAAAAAAGGGCAGTGAAGCAGTGATGAGCTTTTCTAAGAAATTTGAGAGCAAATGTGGCCTTCGCCAGAAGATATAATGAAGGTTATTGTTGGCCCTAGTGCCAGAAGAGTACATGCAACTGTTGCAATCATACCTAATTTTGAATCAAGCAAATTAGATGGTACAGGAGATTAATATAAAACTCTCAATGACTGACATGTTTCCATTCATCCCATAGGACAGAAGGCTTCAAGACAGTAATGCCTTTGACACCAAATGCTCATGTTTCTAAGTCACTGTCTGGTCTTTCCTCTGCTTCACACCCCGCACTCTTAACAATAGCATCTTAGTGACATGATTTCATTGAGGAGATTATGATTTTCTCCTGAAGTCTCCTTTGTAAGTTCTTTCTGCATTCTAAGGTAAACCAATAGCAATGCCCAGAAACAGATGAAACTTCAGAAAGCTTGAAACGACATTAAAAATTACATATTGCGTTTTTCAGAATAAGCAGTAATATTCAGACACAACTTTGTACAGTAAGCAGGGGCATTGTTAAAAGTAGGAGAAGGTAATTGGTAATTATCTTCCAAACCTGACTCCCATTGCATGAAAATTAAATTGGAACAGGACTAGAAACAAGAAACAAAACACTTGTGGCGTTCCGGCAGATTTTTCACCATAAATGGCAAGAAGAAGGGCAGACAAACACAATCTTAGATATTAGATTAGCAGCCAATAAAGTCCTCCCATCCTAGTACCAGACCATGGCTCCTATGACTAAATAAAGCACTGTTTGTGAAGCTCCACTATGCAGCAATTTCCTTTTTTTAAAAAAATAAATAAAATGGTAGGTTCACCATTGATTAAAATTGTTCATTTTCAACACAGTTGGTGCTTTGGACTTCATAAACACGTTGAATATTCATCAGGTACCTTAGGTAATGGAGAAGAAAAATTGTGAAAGTGTCATGATAGCAAAGCACAGACAAGAAGCAGACCTGGTTGTGTAAGACAGGGGAAGCAGGGCCTTCTTACGAGAGCCCACACTCCTGGAGACTCTTCTAACCAGAAGCAAATAAAGTATTCAAAGTAAAATGGCTCCCAGGAGCGGGGTGCTCACCCCTCTAACCAGCCATGAGATTAAAATGCGTGGGAGAAACTCTTCTTTCTTCCTACCCGGATCATCTGCAACCTCACCTCCCCAGGGAGACTCCTTGGCCCTCTAGTCCCCAGCTCCTCCCCTCAGTCGAAGTTCATGGGGGAGGAGAGAGCCAAGGGTCTAGATTATGGTATGGAGGGTGTGATCCTGCCAAACATGCCCAGCAAAAACACCTTTGTGTCTCCTGCCCATCCAACAGGTGCTCTTCTTGTAGGTCAGCTCCACTGTGTAAAACATCAAATGATATATTATGAATAATACTCTTGAGGTCAGTGGAATAATGGGCCCCAAAGATAGGAGATTCTAATGTCTGGAACCTATAAAATCACCTTTCTTGGTAAAAGGGACCTTACAGATAGGATTAAGGATCTTGAGATGGGGCATTATTCTGGATTATATGGGTGGGCTCTAAATCTAATCACTATTGTCCCTATAAGAGAGAGGCAAAGGGCCAGGTGAGGTGGCTCATGCCTGTAATCCCAGCACTTTGGGAGAATGAGGCAGGCAGATCACGAGGTCAGGAGATCAAGAACATCCTGGCTAACATGATGAAACCCCACCTCTACTAAAAATACAAAAAATTAGCTGGACATGGTGGTGTGGGCCTGTAGTCCCGGCTACTCGGGAGGCTGAGACAGGAGAATCACTTGAACCCGGGAACTGGAGGTTGCAGTGATCCAAGATTGCACTACTGCACTCCAGCCTGGGTAACAGAGTGAGACTCTGTCTCAACAACAACAAAAAGGTGGGGTGGCAAAGGGAAATTTGACAAAAGGAGTAGACAATGTGACTACAGAGGATGGAGTGATGATGTATCCAGAAATCAAGGAATACCGCCAGCCACCAAAAAGTGCAAAAGGCAAGGGACAGATTTCCACCTAGAGCCTCTGGAGGGAGTACCACTTTGCTGACAGCTTGATTTCAGACCAGTGATACTGATTTCAGACTTCTGGCCTCTAGAACTGTGAGACAATA